GTCGGCCGCCGGATTGTGGCTAATTATAATACACGTGACAGATGATCGACAAAACCTGGTACAGATTTCTTGCGTGCATTATAAATAAGATTAATTAATATAAATTACTTATTTACCTAATTTAGTAGTAATTGGCGATTACTGCGCCACGTGCTGCGGCTGCGCCATATGCTGCGCCACGTCTACTGCGCCACATAAATAGGTGATTAGTTACAATATAAATAATCCAAAAATTATTATTAATATATTTTCAATTATTATATTATATCTATATGTTAAAAATAAGTAATTACAAATCCTTACAAAATTCTTTTTCTGTGATCTTAAATAATATATCAACATTGAATAATTTTATATATTTTTAATTAATCACTTGTAATATAATTAAAGTAATAATATTAGAAAACTTAAATATAGAAATGATTGAAATAAGAATAAATATAAAGTGATAAAATAAGAAAGTTAGCAAACTAAACTAGAAAAAAAAATAATAAAAAATTATAAAAATATCAAGTATATATATTGAATAAGTATATGATAGAGAAATAAAATAAAGAGTATATAATATTAAAAATAGTGAATACATATAGAATTGGTTTCTTATGTACTTATTATTATAATACTTATAGCTTATATTGAGTATATGTATTAAAAAAATGAAATGAGTATATAATATTAGAAATAGTGAGTTATTATAATACTTATAATTTATATTTAACATCAAAAATATACTCTTAATAATCTTAGCCCCCTTTTCCTTCCTCTTCTCCCTTAAAAAAAGCAACACTATCTTGTAATAAATAATATTTATTGATATGTTTACTACATCCTTGCAATAAACAAAATTTTTTTCTTTCACATATGAAATGACTTGCAAATTCCGGATACTATCCGGCTTTAGTGTTCCTCTGTTCCCGGCGATTTCATAAAGGTTGCACAGATGTCTCAAGGTAACTTGGATCCATTTATTATAGTTTGATTACGCCAATGAATTTGTATTCTCGTAGTGTTTGGGCTAATCGCAAAAGTATTATTTACAACTTTCTCATTCTGCCAAACGGTGTTTTTTTTATTTCCTGTTTGGATGACGATTTCGTTTGTCGGGTTTATGGATTGTCGGCAATGTGGTTGTCGGGGATAAAGTCAGTTAAAAATATATACCTCGTATGAATTCTTCAAGTACACATATTCTAAATTATAAAATAATTGAAATATAAACCTTTGCGAAATTCAATCTTTCGTGTGACACACCCTCTATATACCTGCAATTAAAACTGAAAAGTCTGATTGCACGCAGCATTCGCGTCTCGTGTACTATGTGGTAATCTTTTCTGTCAACTTTGAGGATCCGAAAAAAGTGTCGGATCATGTGATTTTAGGGGTAAACCAATCAAATCGTAAGATATATTTTCATTAAAGGTTATGCAAGTAAAATTTCGCAAAGTAGTTTCATGGGCGCAAGTTATTTTTTCAGTTTTTTATGTTTATTGTTTATTTTGAATTTTCCGTTACACAAGCTAAAAAAGTTAAATTCTACGATCACCAATTGATGAAGATCTCTTTCTTCGATGGAAGATTTCTGTTAATAACGATATCAAAATCGTAAATTTCCCATTCTTGATTAATCGGTGATCGACAAGAATTTTAAATTTTAAAACGTCCGTTGATTCACTTCGCTTTTGCTGATCCCAGAGCTTAAGGTTAAGGTTAGAGTTGAGATCTGGATTTTTATTTTTTGTCAAATTTCTGCGTATTCTTATAAATGATGACCCCAATAGTAAATCTAAAAAAATTTGTAAAATATCATTTACCTATGTTGTTTATACAATAGAACAATTTTGAATTGCATGTCTTTAAATCGTACCCTAGAATTAATATAATAGATGATTAAAAACAATTCGCATTACCAACCCTGTGAGTTAAAGAATTCAACCTCCAAATAGATGATTGCAAAAAATTATTTCGTTTTAATAACCAAAAAGGAGGAATCTTACTGGTTGTACTTAATTTGTTGGCGGGGATTGGTCAATTACGCGTGATACAGACCCCAAATTAAGCATAATTTTTCAGCACAGGCATGCTCTATATCTCTGCATATTTTGGAACGTTAGATCAACTTCGCCACGATAGATTCGAAAAATTTTTGCTGTTCATTCTGTTTAATAAATATCAAAAGTTAACTTTCTTTAAAGAGACGCTTGGTGCTGAAGTGAAACGAAACAAGAAAAGCTTTATCTACTAATAAAATGTCTGATGAACGAATCGTCTTAAATGTGGGTGGTATCAAGGTACGGAATGGAATAATATACTGCTTCGATAAATTTTACTTTGATGAATAAATGCCGTTGGAATTGATGAATAAATTTATCTAATGCCAAAATTAATCATGATTCAATCAATCCTCGATCAATTAATCTAATACGTTGACGACACACGAAATCAGTACGAAACATTTAAATCAACGCTCATTTCTCAACCCAATACCCTTCTGGGTCGCTTATTCAAAGAAAACTCTATAAAACCGAGCAAAGAGAATGAATACTTTTTCGATCGTAATGGCCGCGCGTTTCACTACGTTCTCGAATACTATCGTACGGGAAGTATCCACATTCCGCGCGAGAACGCCAAAGAATACATAACGGGTGGAAAAGGTGCCCCATTGAGCAGTGATATTCTCGCGGAATTCGATTACTTTGAAATAATCCCGAAAGATTTGTCACTACAAAATCGAGCGTTGGCCATTCGTGTCGATGAGCTGATTCAAATGTTTAAGGATATTTATTTCGAGATGGCTGCGAGGATGGTTTCTGAGTTCAATGTTAGATTTGATATCGATGGAAGTTACTTTATACCGTGTGAGGTGAATAAATTGGTTGGTTCAAGTGCATATGCCGTTCTCGAGCAGTTCTCAAAGGATATTGAGGCGCATTTGAATTCGTCATTTCCTGGACTGACATCAAAGTTCACCCATCATCCAAATGGATTCAAGTATCCAGATGACTTCACAGTGCCGCTTCCGCATTTCAACGTGAGTATCACGTTGAATAAGGATTTTTATGATTTCGATGCTATTCGTAATACTTCCTGCCTGAGATCTAGAGATCCTTAGATTTCTTAATTTAATATCGGAAAGATTAGTTTAGCCTTGTCTATTCCTACCCACTTTAATATTTTATACTTAATAGAATCTATGTGACTCATAAATAAAGTTTCTTTGGTTGAGATTTGTATTGCTCGATTTAGCATTACTAAATAATGATTATAACGCACGGGACTTGCATCATTGGAAATTCATGTAACGTAGTATCAAGTTATATATTAAGGGAGAAATAAGGAAGTTTATTTATTCTCTATTTTAATGAAAAACGATCGCCCTGGCATATATACAAAGGAGAAAAACAAAAAAAATGTGTTTATGATTTAACGTTCACGCTAAGATGTGTGATAGGCCACGCGACACTATTAGAATATAGTAATAAGAAATGGATGTATGTAATTAAAAGTGTAAGAAAAAGGAAGGAAATTCTAAAGAATAGAAAATTCATTGTCATTATATTATATTATTATTATTATTAATTAATTAATAATAGTCTCATTATAAATATTACTATTCAAACGAATTGTTTTATTTTGAGTCTATATATACCAGAGAGATAGATATAAAAGAGAGAGAGAAGAATAGAGAGAGATATCTATATATGTACATATATAGATAGATAGATAGAAACAAGAAAAAATAGTACTAATAGTACATTATTATTATGATGTAAGGAAGCATTAATATTACGTGAGTGTGTGTATATATATATATATATATGTAAGATGTGTATAAAATATTTATATTAATAGGGAGGAATAAAATTATTTGCATTAAACAAGAAAAACATTAAAAAAAATAAAAATAATTAATTCAAAAAATTTGTTATTTTGGGTTGTGAACCGCGAAAATAGTGGTTCAAATCAATGTTCATACTACTTTTGTGTGACAGTCTAAAATGAGAATTAAAATGTTATGGTAAAGGAAAATGAAAAAAATAATGAGAATTGCTATAGATAATGCGATAATAATGATGAATAAAATGATTAAAATAAGAGGGTTGAGGGATGGAATGGAAAAAAATTAAAAATAGATAAACACAAAATCTGAACCAAATGTTTGCACGCTTGTTTTGGGGGTTTATTTTGTCTAATTCTTTCAACTTTAACTCGCCTTTCTTTTCCTCATTGCTAATTCACCCAACTTCTTCTCTTCTGCATTATTTTGTAAATAGCCCAAACACACGTAGAATAAAAATCACGCTCCACTTCCCAATATAATTTCTTTCTCTACTCTTTAAGCTAGTTAAATAAATATCCAATATTGCTACTACACACACTCCCGTTGATGTCAATTAATGATTATGATGTTTTGCTGATTGTATTTTTTTTTGCTGTATGGTATTCAAATATGACAGGTTGTTGATGTTTTATCAGTTGTCGGATAAAGGTTTTTCCTTTACCACCAACTTTGTTTGTTGTTATATCCATTAGCAGCACTATAATTGCCACCGCTTCCACCGCTTCCACCATAACCAACACCATAACCGCCACCTGAACTACCACCACCACTTCCATAATAGAAACTATTATAAGATTAAATGACAAGAAAAAGAAGAAATTAATTCATGAATCACGCAAAGATTATTATATATATATATATACACATCAAGAGTCTTCATTGTAATTACTCACTCATTTCCTCCGCCATAATTTCCTCGATCATTATTATTGCCTCCAAATTTTCGATAATCGCGATTTTGACCTCTTCCGCGACTACCGCCACCACCTCTACCACGTCCGCCTCCAAACCCAGAAGTTTCTCTCGCCACAGTTTCCAGCCATTGGGGAATTTCTTGATTCGCTTCTTTCAACAAGTCAATTAATTCTCTCACTATTCCTTTGTTACCACGATTAAAGAACGCCGTTGATATACCAACATTACCAGCACGACCAGTACGACCGATACGATGAACATAATCATCAATATCAGTTGGTAAGTCATAATTTATAACATGAGTAACATTAGGGATATCTAAACCACGTGCAGCCACGGCTGTCGCAACCATAATCGGTGTACGACCCGTGCGGAACGATTCAAGCGCACGTTCTCGTTCTCGTTGTGAACGGTCACCGTGAATAGAAGTTGCTGGGAAATTTGAATTTATTAGAAAATCTGATAACATGTCTGCCATTCGTTTTGTTTCCACAAAAATTAAAGTTAGGCCACGCTCAGTCTCTGGCTGTGAATGAAGAATATCTAACAGTACTGATCTCTTGTCTTCATCTTCTACATATTCGATCTTTTGAGTGATATTCTCGCTCGTACTACCAACTCGACCAACGCTCAGAAATACGTAATCTTCCAAGAAATCACGTGCCAGAATTTGTATATCACGAGGGAATGTGGCACTGAACATAAGTGTTTGGCGTGATTTCACATCAGGCATATCTATTAATTTATAAATATGAATTATCCGAGATTATCACAAGAAATTAAAATCTTTACGTAGATAATAAAATACCTTCTTGTTCAACAATACGACGAATTTGAGGTTCAAAACCCATATCCAACATACGATCAGCCTCGTCAAGTACCAAATATCTAGTCTGAGATAAGCTTACACGACCACGTTCAATTAAATCGACAAGTCGACCAGGAGTTGCAGTCAGCAGATCACAACCACGGTCAATTTGTCGTAGTTGTCCCGAAATATCAGCACCACCATACACAACACAAGGTCGTACCCATGATCGATATGCAAATTTACGTGCTTCTTCGTAAATTTGAGACGCTAATTCACGAGTTGGTGCAAGAATCAAACCTGCCGGATAAGCTTTACGACTGCGTGACATTCCGCGACTATAGCCTGGTTGTTCCTGTGGCGGAGGGGATGGACCCTTTTTGAATAGTTCAGACAAAATGGGGAATAAAAATCCACCAGTCTTTCCTGAACCGGTTTGTGCGCATGCCATCAAGTCTCGACCGGCAGATACAATCGGAATCGAGTATTTTTGTACAGGAGTTGGAGTCGTATAATGAGCCAGTTCGATATTAATAAGAAGATGAGTATCCAGAGGCGGACTCGAAAACTAATTATCATAAAATAGTTATAGCTTTAATATTTGATATGAATTCACAACAATAGAAATACACAATAAACGATAAATTATCGATTCTATTTTTACCTGTGAAACACATTGGGGAACATTGTTGCCACTGGCCTCAACAGGGATATCATCATATTTTTCAAAGTTTATACCAGTATGCTGACGTTCTGGATCATCAGGAGCACCAAAAAGATCACGTTCTATACGTTGATTTCTTTGGGCAATAATATGGGTACCATCACGCCAAGAGCCATACCCATCATCACGTCGAGAATTGTTACTAAAGTCTTCTTGAAAACTTCCACGACCATATCCACCACGACCACCAGAAAAATTTTGGCGATATCCGGCATTCCAACGGTCACTTTGTGAAGAGGCTCGATCATTCCACCCGCCACCACCCGAACGTTGAGGTGAGGAATAGCTCATTTCACTACGACTTCCACCCCAAGTGTCAGCTCGAGGGAAGGATGTTCTGCGATTATTCCAATCTACAGCGGCGGCAGCACTGTTTTATAATAAAAAAGCCAGAAAAATGTATTAGGAAATATTTTGAACATCAGAATTCAAGATATAAATTCATTGTTGACAGTCGAGGATTGCAAAAAATTGCGTTTCGTAGTTCATTCATCTATCCGCAATTAAACAATTTATAGAAAAGCAAAAATCTTTAATTGGACATCTTGAGAACAATTACCTTTCATTTCTTTGATGCCAGCCATTACCACGACGAGGTTGAAGAGGGGAAGGATCTTCATGAGACTCGTTATTATATTGTTGTGTGCTATTATTATGATTAACGTTAGGGGAAAGGGTATTATTATTATTATTATTTGAGGTAGTTCTTTGCTGCGTCTGAGAAGCGTTATTTTCAGTCGTATTTTTTTCAGACGAACGCCCTCTCAAGTGGGGAGGAACGTAACGGCCAGCGGTAGGTCTCCCCGAACCTTGATTACTGATGCCTAAATTAGCTATTCGTTGGAGTGACAAGAGAGAATGGTCATATGAGAAATTTGATCAATTCATTGACAAAGGAAAAAAAGATGCATTCCAATTTTCAATTTCGCACAGAATTTTTAACTCGAGGACAAATCAAAGGTACAGAAAACTAAAACGTTGCAATGCGCAGATTCGTTCCTTCAATCAAAAGAAAACAAACTTCAGCACCCTTTTACTTACCGAATTGCTGCTCTAGGCGTCCACCGTTCGAGTTGCCATTGCTCATAATTATTAGGATTATAATAAATCAAGATGTATTAGTTTTATTATTTTTTTTTTGTTATAGTCTTAATCGACAAACACAAAAAAGAGAGATTGGAAAGTAAAAGAAAAAAATGGAATAAAAAAAAAAGTTTTTGTGCTTTTTTATATTTTCTATATATGATAATATATTTATAATAATAAATCAAGTTGGGATGAATGATATTTGGGATAATGGATGTAATTTATTATAAAAAACGAGAATGATTAGTTGTTTGATATTCTTAGACTAAATGCAAGTATGTCGTTTTACATCCATTATTATTCGGACTATTAATGCTAATTCCGGAAAATAATAATAATTTAACGTCGGATTCTATTAATAGAGCCGACACACGTACACACAGACAGAAGAGATGTTTTTTTGTTTTTTTTTTCTTTTTTTTTTTTATTAACAGTCCATTTTTGAAATGTAATATATATTTCCCATTTTTAGTCGGAATGGGAATTACCGGATGTTTCGGCCTTGTACGGCGGCGTAGTAAAGATTAAAAAGAGTAGTGGGCAATGATGTTTCAAATTAGTTGATTTATGTGCACAACCAAACTTTTTTCGTAAGAAAAAAAAATAATTCATTTTATTTTCCGATAATGTGCATGAACACACACGCAGGCAATCAAACATTCTTTTATTGAAAGATTTCTCTTCTGATTCTTGGGAGCACACAAGATTCCCTCTAATTATAAAACTCAAATGATGAATCGTGGTATTATGATGGTCCATGAATTTCCTTGCAGTAACCATGCTCTTAAATGATGATAAACATACAATTCACTAAATTCATAGAATAATGGAAACGGATGTTTCTATAAGTGGCTATTTTTATATTTTGTGTAATTAAAAGAATGAGATTGGGATATCGACATATTCATTCAATGCTTAACGTCATTGGTGATTCTCATTTCTTACTCCATATAAAGAAGTTCTGACGCATCGATGATTCCATTTCTTGTGAAACTGGAGCACGATAAATATTACCGTCACATGAAAAACTGTAAGACCTACATTGTTAGACTAGTTTATTCAGGCGGCCTAATTTCACATTAATGCAAAAAGATAATGTTCTATGGTGGGATGATGGGAAAATAAGAAAAAATATGGTTACATTCTAATGGGAAAATAAAAAAGAATTGGAATCCTTTTGATTCATTAATTTTACACATTGTTTCGTTTGGCCAAACAGGAATTATCCAAAATTCCCTGGTGGTCAATAATCGTAGTACTCAAAGACACGAAATACCGCCTATCATAATACCCTCTCGTCAATTTCCATGACAACCCTGGCAAGGTCTCCATCAAGTATACGCCAATATCCTGCCCGAAACGATCCAGAATCTCAAATCCAACCAGTGCAAAATCGTGAAATAATTTGTACACCAATTCGTTAATCACCATCTTCACATTCTCATTGTCGACTTCTTTGAGGTTAGCTTGGGGAAGTCGTTTATCCTCGTAGAACATGATGCTGATGTCGACGATAAAGTTTTGGGCTATGCTCGTGAAGCATGTTTTTAGGGAGTTTATGAATGCGTCTAGCTGTTTCGCGATGGCTAATGTTGGATATGAAATTGTTATTGGTTCGTGGGTTGGCGCGGGGATTTGAAAATAGTCCATTTCATTCTCGATCTCTTGGCGTGTTATTAACGTGCTTGCTGGTATCCATTCGCCAATCGTTAATGTAGTTGATGCTGTAGCAATTGTTGAAGTTGCAGCTGTAGCAACAGAAGTTGTATTCCCAGCAACAGCACCAGCTGCAGTACTCAATGTTCTTGCGCTACTATTGTCATTTCCTGTAACCAGACTACGACCTATATGATTAGTGGGTAAATCTCCGACACCTCCTCCATCATAATTGTTCTGATCAGGCCAGGGAATTTTGCCCGTCCGATAGAATTGCAGAATATAACGAAAAACATGACCATCGCGATCAATGAAATATTCTTTATTCCCGGAGGGACTTATTTGCGTCGGACTCATCATTTGTTTATTTCTTTCCGAGAACATTGTACCGAGTAACGTGTCTGGGTATGCGGTCAAAGTGGAACGATACGTTTCATACTGCTCTCATATGATTGATTTGAAGTAATGATTGAAATAATAATGACAAATATCGAAATAATCATAATAAATAGTATTGAAATTATAGAAAGAAATGGTGATATCATCACGTTTATTTAAAATAGTCACATGATATTAATGAATACAAAGTAATTTGAATAGTAAGCCTCTCCACTTATTCCCTTCCCGATTCCACCTTATCCTCAAAAAAATCGAGAAAAAAGCGATTATTGGTTACTATACCTTGATACCCCCAACATTCAAAATTATTCGTTCTCCTGGCGAATATTTGTTTCCATTCTCCATGGTGTCACCACGACTATTATTATTATTATTATTATTATTATTATTGTTAATGTGCGTGCTGCTGTTGTAAATCTAATTTCTTCACTAGTGATTTTTTCAAACGACTGTTCATTTTATTCTGTCATGAGTGCGCAGGTTGTTAAGAAGGAAAAATATAATACCGAGCAGAAATTGCATTTTATTGGGGGTTAAAATTGTGTAATTAAATTATCGTTATCAATTTAATGTTAATCATGGAGATTAGTGTAGGTTAGGGCTGTTTTCCCTACCGCTACCGTTTGGAAAATCAAATGTGATAAGAGGTGTGTGACTATGAACAATGTGTGACTATAGAGAGAGTATAGCTGTATTACAAGAAAACGAAATTTAGAATTTAACCAGGAAAATTATAGCAATGTGTTTATTGAGCCTTCTTTTGATGCTTTATATGTAAAAGATGTATGATTCAAGTGCAACGGACAGATCGAGATATGAATTAAGTACCTACATATCAATTAACTTCACTTATCTTCTGTTGACCGACAATTTCCTCTGGAAGGCTACGGCAAGCAACGGCCAGTTGATTGTGGCCAGTTCACATGAAAGTATAATGCAATGGCACTATGTCAATGCTTTATAGTTGATTCATCAATATCTCTAGTATTGATGATATCAAAATTGATTTGCGTCTATCTTTTTAATTGACGCTACACTAATTTTTTTATTTTTATTTAGTGTTGCACTAATTATGACCGAAGTGGAGGGTGAGATAGGAGGGCGAATTTCTAATTAAGGTAAGTAGCAAGCTGGTAAATTTTTTTCGTTCAAGGCATAGATTCGTACAATTTGGAACAAATAATCGCTCTTCCACGCCACTTGCAACTTTTCCCACAACTGTTCTGTGGTCCAGGAAGTTGCCTCATTCGCATATCCACCTCATTCCATAAATTTTCTATGGGGTTTAGGTCGGGAGACTGGGATGGCCAGTCTAGCAAAGTGATCTCGTTGTCGGCGAACCATTGCTTTGCTTTTCCAGAGACGTGTTTTTGGGTCATTATCTTGCTGGAAGATAAAATCAACTATCCTCCAGCCCCTTCTCCCTGACTGATCCTAGAAGATTATTTGTTAGGATTTCCACATAGCCATCCGCATTCATTTTTCCCACGATTTTTCTCAACTCGCCAACACCGTCGCCCGTCACGCAACCCCAAACCATAATCGAACCACCGCCAAATTTAACGGTTGGCGTAATATGCTGGTCTTTTAACTGACCACCGGGCTTTTTCCAGCAATACTTTCGGCCATCCGACCCGAAAATTTTGGTACTTGCTCTCGTCAGACCAAATTACGCGTCGCCATTCGTCGCCGTCCAAATTCGGTGTTTTTTCGCCCACGCCAACCGTCGTTTTTGTGTGTTCGTTTGAAGTAAGGCTTCTTTCGTTTTATGCGAACGAATAACATCCAACTCATTTTTAAGCTCTCGTTGGACCTCGACAGCGGTGGAACATTTTCCGGAGTGGATTAATCGGCACGCGTTTCTTTCGTAGCGTGTCGAGAGGATTGTGGGCGACCCGGTTTTTGGCTTGTCATCGAAGCTCCCAGTCTCTTGCATATCCGGTAGACGGAGGCCGGGTCTACTTGTTCCGATGCTGCGATTTCCCGCATCGAATATCCTTTTCAGAGCGTGTATATACGGGCGCGTTTCTCTATAGGGATTCTAGGCATAATTATGAAAAATGGATCAGTTTGTTTGCTGAATGTGAAGATTTATTTTTTTAATTTACAAATAATCAAAGCGTTTGTACTTATCTTTATATAGCCCTTCCGTCCACCTTCCCATTCGGTCGTAATAAGTGCAACGCTAAAAAAGTTAATGCATCTTTAATCAAAAGATAGAAGCGAATAAATTTTGATATCATCAATACTGTGGATATTTGATGAATCAATACATTCACCTTTTGGTTGCCCGGGTTCTTCCTACGGCGAGGTATTCGTATCTCTGAAGATCAGCCTTGGAAAGTAGTTACCGAACTTCGAATCGAATTCCGATCACGCGTTTGGTATCACTAGTTCCGCAGTCAACTTTAAAATTAAGGTAAGTTCTGCCTTTACATTGCGCAAGAAAACAGCAAAATTCAATATACCCGACAAAGCTCCCACGCACCTAGTGATCTGCGTCATATGGTTCATGTCCAGTACACCTGCGAACAAGATACAGAAGAATTATGGAATATCTACGAGCACTCTTCGTAGATGGAGCGAACGTGGAGATGTTTCGAGCGTCACCATGCCGGGTGGAAAACGTTTGTATTCCGTCACGGACATCGACCGAATGTTTAACAAGGAGAGTGCGCAAAAGAAAAAACTTTGTTACGCACGAGTATCCAGTGGAAAACAGAAAGATGACCTTGAAAGGCAGCGTGCATACCTCACTTCTAAATTTCCTGATCATGAGATCGTTACTGACGCCGAGTCTGGTCTCAATTGGAAACGACGAGGATTCGTGTCCATTCTGGAACGAGTGTACGCGGGAAATCTCGAGGAAGTTGTGGTTACTCGCAAGGATCGATTGACCCAGACACAGGCGAACTTGCAGAGGATCTACTATCTATCGTCACGGTGTTCACAGCCAGTCACAATGGTCTTAGAGCTGCCGCAAACAAAAAAAGAAGACAAGAGATTGAAGACGCGCAAGATCCGCATGTATCCCAACGATCAAGAAAGAGAAACGTTGAAGAGGTGGATGGGAACGTACCGATGGACATACTATCGATGTCTCGATCTGATAAGAGAAGGAGAACGCAGATCCAAAAAATTTTTGAGAAAACGAGTGATTAATAACGATAACTATCAACTTGAGAATGTTTGGGTGAAGAAAACCCTTCTGGTGTACGTGATCGTGCGCTGTCCGAATTATTAAAAGCATACGATACAATCTTAAATTGAAGAAATTCACGATCAAGAAAAAATCAAAAAAGTATAAACCGTAAACAATTGCCACTGAAAAAGGGATTTCATACGAAAAAGGTGAATATGCGTTTCTTAAGCATATCAAGACCTCCGAAGAACTTCCCGAAATAAAAAATGCCGTTGATATCACGCGAGACAGACTGGGTCGATTCTATATTTGCGTGTGCGTTCCTGGCGTGCGCACATTCATGATGGGATATGATCCCAGTGGAAAGATTATTGAATGGGGTAAAGGAGACATTGCGCGCGTTTTCAGGCTATGCAAGAGATATGATAAATATTAACGTGAGGTATCCAAAAGCAAGGGTGGATCTAATAAACGTAAAAGGTACACGCTAAAGAGAAAGATGCTAAAGATACATGATAAGATCAAAAACATCGTGAAAGATTGCCATCACAAGATCGCAAAGGAATTATGTGAGAATTACAATACCATTCTTCTTCCAAGATTTGATTCTGATGATATTAGAAATTTTAAGAAGAAATTCAGTCGAAAGATCAAGAGCAAGACAGGATGATGTTGACATGGTCGCATTACAAGTTCCAACATCATCTCGCGCACAAGATCGGAGAGTACCCCCGGTCGATTGTTGATACTCTGTGATGAGCATTACACATCCAAGACGTGCGGGAATTGCGGAAACATAAAGGACAATCTCGGTGGTGCAAAGGTTTACAAGTGCGCTTGATGTGATTTTGAGATTGACAGGGATCACAACGCAGCCCGCAACATCCTTCTGAAACATCTGAGCCAAGGTGACTTGGCGCTGGGGCCTACCCCGCTTGAATTATAGCATGCTAACGTTCGTTCTATAACCCTGACGTTGATAAAAAATAATTTTTATCGTGGATGATCGGTTTTTCTGTAGGAGCCAATCAACAAATAGTCGAAAAAAATTGAACGCCATGTTTGGTGAAAATCTTACCGTATTTTTTATATTCAAAAATTTTATTGGATTTAATCTATGATGTTATGCACTATATAAAAGATTTATTATACATGATAATTTCTAGCAAAGAGAATCCTAATTAATATGAGTAATAAACATTAAAAAAGAATTATAATATATAGATTAATTATAAACTGGATTAATTAAACTTTGTAATCAAATTTGTTTCTATAAATGCTATTGCAACTCGAATAATTATACATTTATTGGACTACCCAATTCAAATCAGTTTGAATAATCTGAAAAAGATCCATTCCAATTGGTAATAAATAGATATTCATGAATGATTAAATTAAATAGTAAATAATTATATAAATTACACATTAATTAATTCTCCAATCAAGCCACGATTCTACCACGCAACCATTCCATCAATGCACCAGTTCCCTGATTAATAATTGCATATCCTGGAACCCTAAAAGAATTTCCCTCGACCAATAGAGTTTTTATCGTTTTGATATTACCCAACAACGGTGGTAAACGACCAATGCTATTATTCGATAAGTCGACTACTTCCATATTTTCAAATGTTGAGGGTGTGATTGTGGTAAGCGCATTCATTGATGCAAGAAGTGTTTTAAGTTTTGGAAACGGTAATTTGGGTGGTAAAGCGGACACCCGATTCTGGTTCAAATTCAGAATTTGTAGATTTGGAAATGCTGTATGTTCTGATTCATCTGGCAATGATGTTATTTGATTTGCAGATATGTCTTACAAAAATAACACATAAAATATTAAATTGAGTCCAAAGAATTAAGAATGCAAAGTTTCTCTGCTTACCTAACGTTACAAGATTCGCAAAAATTACAGACTTATCTTCGAAACTTGGAAAAGTAGTCAATTTATTGTGATCTAATTGAAGAGTAGTGATAATATTTTGGAATAATGCAAGAGATGCAGGGATATTTGTGAATGCATTAAAACCTAAATAAACACTTGTCGGCTCAAATGTTATTGAACTCAATTCTGTATCAGAGATTGATGAAAGTAATTTTTTTGACAAGTCTAATGTCTTCGATGCAACTGCTTGAAGAGTGATAGTGCCTAAAGGTCCCGAGAATGCGGCATCATCAGAACCTGCTCGTCTACTACCAACTCGTCCTAGACTATTAGAAGGAATACTTTCAGGTATTGTTGGTCCATCCATATTCTCAGAATCTGTCAAGAAAATATTGTCATTATATTTATTTCAGTATAACCAAATAAATATATTATATCAAGTAACAAATTTTACCAACTAAGGACAATCGAGTTCTTAGTGTCTGAAGAAGTGCTGTCGTCGATTTCGGTCCTCTTGGAGCATTTCTCAAGGGATTTCCTTCCCAGACAAGTACATCCAAAGAAGTCAGTAATCCCAGTTCAGCAGGTAACGCACGGAGTTCATTGTTTCCCAAATCCAATCGCTTGAGCATCTTTAACGCGGTTAATCCCTCTGGAATTTCTTTGAACTTATTATCTGCAATATCAAGAATTTCCAACCTAGGCGTGGTATGAAGTAAAGACCCTAATGATTCTATTCTATTGAAAGAAACTAATAATTCTTTGAGTACCGGCAAGGTGATGGATGGTTTAAATAATGTCGTCTCTTGTGCTTCATCTAAAGACTTCAATCTATTTTGGCGAAGATCTAATCGTTTGAGATAAGGTAGACTCACTTGCGCATCATCAAGTCCATAAAATATTTTTTCCAATTGATTTTCATTAGCTTCTAACTCTTCTAATCTAATCATTCCACTTAATGCAGCTCCCGGAAGCTCTTTTAGTTTATTCTTCTTCAATATTAACTTCCGAAGATTCTTCAAATTGCGGATTTCCTCGGGTAATCCGGTGATCTCATTACAAGATATATCAAGGAATTCAAGCTTTGACAAATTCCCAAACGATGGATCTAAAGTTCCCGACAACTTGTTGGACGAGAGTTGGAGATCAATCAGTGATAAAAGAGAAGTCAAACATTTTGGAAGTTCAGTGAATTCATTGATAGATAAGTTTAATGTGCCTAAATTTGATAATTCACTAAACTCATCCGGGAGAGTGGATAATTTATTATTGTGAAGCTAGAAATTAAAAGAAATCAAATATTTTTATTGCATTGATTTTCGTAGATTTCAGTGGAAAACATTATGGAAATGAATGCTTACATCTAGAAAAACCAGCGAACGAAATTCGGCTATTCTTTTATCAATTGATTGCAAATGATTATCAGCAATCACCATTCGCGTTAAATCAACAGCTTCGTACCATATATCCGAACTAGCAGCACCAAAATCCAAATTGATCTCGGAAGGATCTGTTTCATACATTTTCCAAACTTCTTCAGGAATTTCATTTAAAGAACGATTTGACAGATTTAATCGACCTGTTTACATTTTTAATTCATTAGCATTACTAAGAAGATTGTCACAAGGCGCTTGAAAAAGAAATTCTAATTCACACCTGAAGTTTTGGCATGTTTTACAACAACTTTTAGACTTTTCGTGGAGCTTTCTTCATTGTCTTCTCCATGTTCAGTGTTCTTGTTTGCTTTTCGAGCTTTCGCCCTGGCTTGTTCAATGGCTTGTTTTAATGAAGTCTTTTTAGTATTTGGCGAAGGTGAGGGAGATAGCGAAGTTCTCTTATTCTTAATAGAAGATTGTGCTGTTTTCGATGCGGATTTGTAGGTTGTATCAGTAGAATCAGCCTTTCCAATACTAGAAGATGACGGTGACGGAGATCTAGAAGTTCGCGGGCTCTTAGTAGATGGTTTAAGTGTATTCGAGGTTCTAATATTTGTGGCGGGAATAGAGCTAGAGGTAGTCTTTCCAATACTAGAAGACGACGGTGATGGAGATCTAGAAATTCGCGGGTTCGTAGTTAACGTTTTAAGTGTATTTGAGGTTCCAGCATTTGTGGCGGGAATAGAATCAGAAATAGCGCCCAAACGAGGTGAAGGCGATCTTGAGACCCTAGAACGTGTTGTTGTCGATGTACTGTTCGTATTTGAAGTTCGATTTGGAGTGAGTAAGGAACTCGTGGTGTTGCTACGAGTAAGGTTAGAGGTGCTTTTTACTATGCTAGAACCACCATTAGTATCTTTGTTGCTCTTGTTATTATTTATTCCGCGTGTGCCAGAAGCAGCAGATGCCCCTGAGCCATTGGCTCTTTTATTAGTGCCAGCTGAACTTGTAGTGCGCCGCATTTCTTCTATGGGTAAAGGAGAGTGGTTAAGACGCGAAGACTATCGATATATTGATGGTATGGTTAGTTTGGATTCCATAAACTAATCATGCACGTACATACATATAACGTAATTTTTTATGCAGTGAGATGAGATTACGTGCAGGGATTGGGCGTTTAACATTAAAAATAGTTTGTATCATTCATTATGGTAATTTAAAAAAAGAGAATGCGAAAACTTGAGTATTGTTGTATGCAAAAAAAAATCATTATATTTTAATAAATATGTGATTGTTTCGGGAATTCAAAATCATTCATATTAGATCCGCTGGTAAAGAACCATTCGCAGCTTGTTCCACCAATTGGTCAAACTCCTCATCGAGCCCTGGTTGTCCACACCAAATTACTTTATTGTTGACCAGAATAAATGCTGTAGGGATTCCTGGGGAACCACTTGGTTTAAGTAATGCTATTATGAAATAAAGGATTAAATCGATGAATTGAGAAAATTTATTTGTTATTATTTTTATTTTTTGATTTACCTTTTCTGGCGGTACGATTTTTGTCAAATGCTACTGAATAGTCCATTTTATCCCCCATTTGATTGACGAATTCAATTACTGTCTGTTATATATATATAGATTAGTCTAATAGAAAAAAAATCAGACGCGAACACAATAATAAATGATAAAATGAATATACATCATCTTCCTTTTCATTAGTTATTCCTAGTACTTTTATTCCTCGATCACGATATTTTTGTTGTATCTTTGATAGATGTGGTATTCTATTTTGAATTTGTCCATTATTATAAATTTACCGAAAGAAAAACGAGAAGTGTAGGGACTTACGTATCACGACCTTTATTTGTTTGCATATATTTAATCAGAAAGAATAATTATTAGTAGTAGTCTTTTCACCTCCTCCAATATTATCTTCTCCTATAAAATCGCGAACTATTCACACTTAACAAAAATAATTGGAATAAATGACTAGAGAAATTTAACTACAAACATGGTGGACACCAAGTAGCCCAAAACTCCACAATAATTGTATTTAAAGATCCGTCATTTGGCACCGGTCCACCCAATATTACGGGCTCTCCTTTGATAAATGTCAAATCGTCAACTAAACTACAAATTGAATTGATATTTGACATTCTTTTTGATGATCGTCACAATGATAACAATTCTCACTTTTGTATATATGTGTTTAAAAATTCAAGTTAATTTCTTCAATGTACTCGAAAAATCTCCAAATTAGGAAATTATTATTATCGTAATAAAAAGCTATTTAAAGGTTTCAATTAGTGTGTTAAAATAATAATAATAAATAAAGGAATTTCACATGATTATTAATCGAGCTCAGTCTGATATTTTACTATCCTAGCATATATTGATATATCCATTCCTATTTCGGATAATCTTTAAAGTGGTAATGACAATCAAATTTTATTTTTTCTGACATGAATGAAAAATTAGTAATTCACTTGTGAGCTTGGCGTCTGGAGATTGCACAATGAACAATTCCTCAAAATAAAATTCCTACTGAAAAACTTTTATTCCAATTATTTAATTTAATTTTTATTAATATAAAAATTCGTAGTTTTCAAATAATATACAATTTTTTTGATTTAATAAAATTTTAAGATAAAAAATTCAAAATTTTTATATATATTCTTTATAATATATATTAAAAAAATTTACAAAATAATGTTACAATTTTACGAAAATAAAATTTAAGTAAAAAAAAATCAATAAATTTATTGATTTATTTTTTTTTTGATTTAAACAATAATAATTTTGTAAAAAAAATTAAAATTACTTTGCCCCACCTCTAAATTATATATTGAATATATATTATTTGTTTATTTTGAAATTATTTAGTACAAGAAAAATTTGCATTAATTACTGATTCACAAGTGAATTGCCACTTAAATATACTGAGACATCCAACGGAAACCTATTATTAACAATATGCATTAATTGATGATTTTAAATGGCAATCATAATAGGTAACACGCATAAAATAAATACCTTCACCATATCCTTGTCTCATTACAACTGAACACATAAAGACTTCTATTGGTCTAATATCCTTCAATGGAACTTTACCCTATTATTCAATAAATTTAATAAGTGATAAATTATAGTATAAATTTACCAATATCACCATTATTATTGTTAAATAAGTAATTAATTTATTATTTTTTTACCTTGCCAGTTGTCTGATACAATCCCAAGGAATAACGCAATTCTTCTTCAGAAACTGCGCCTGGTGCATCAATTTTATTCCCCAAAATCAAGAAAGGGACAGTTGACAGTTCTTCGATTGATAAGAGATTCTGCGTAATTTTTTTGATGATGATTGGTTGCATATTAGTATACCTATTCACTATCTTTTTTCTAACAAAAATGACCTTTAGGATAAAATATTCATATGTACATCTAATTCGGTTTTACTTTCTGCAAATCTTTCCCGATCTTGAGCATCGACCATAAAGACAATCCCGGAAACTTCCGGAAAATAATCTTTCCAGAGACGTCGAGCTTAATAATAAAGTGCGTTATTTATTGAATCATAGTTCATTATATTCTTCTTATTATAAGGAATTATAACCCAAAGTTTACCTTGTAAATGTCCACCAAGATCATAAGTTGTGAAACGTACATTACCTATGGAAAGTTCTTCAGAAGCTAATAATTTTTAAGAAAAAGTCCAATTAATAAACAATTTCTTAAAATCAATTCGTCATAAAATTATTTAATTTAAATTTCTTTCTACTATAAATTAAACAGCAAAACACACGTACTAGGATGTAATGTTGGTTGTAGAGTGGCCAAACGATCATTCTTTAACATGTGCAACAAGGTTGTCTTGCCCGCATTATCAAGTCCCAAGAATAAAATTTTAGCATTCTTGTTAACAAGACCTGTGAGCACGAAAGAAAATTCTTTATTTATTAGTAACTGTATGCGAAAATTCGAGAACACCGAGATTAAACACATACCCAAAGACGCGAGAACGTCATAAAACCAGTTGATGATGAACATATCTTATATTAATTTTTTTTGCAAACGCAGGTTTTCAGTTGCTTTAAAGAAAATAAAAGAATACCAAATCTTTGCTTAAAAAGCGCGATTTTATTATCAAAAATTCAAGAGACGACGTAAATGACAAGTTTTTAGCGAGTGCGGGGAACTATAGAAAATGACCAACCATGATCTGCCACGCATGTGAAGATCGAAAGATCGTGGTAATAATTCTGTGATGAGGTGTATTTCATGTGGCGATGACGAATTAGAACGGAAAGTCTCCAATGCAAAAAATAAAATAAATCGCATAAATCTAAATTTCTAGCTAATTTGAGTTGTTTATTATGGCTTGAGTTTAATGTAGGCCAAAATTATGTAGTATTTATAATGTTGTTTGACATGCTTCGGTTAATATTGGCCACAATTTATCATGTTTGGCCTGAATTGTATCTTGATTTCTTAATGCTAATCAAAACTATGTATAATTTTTATCAAAATTTAACCATTACAGTACACATCACTTAAAGAACTGAAATAAAACTTGCAAGTAATAAAGCATGTACCCCGTTATTTTGAAGCTAAACCAACTTATTATAATCTATCTTTTTTATTGAGATTAAAATGAAATTTTTGGTCAAAGTTATACGAATCATGTAGATCATTGGCCAAAATTATCATAATTTCTTATTATTAAATAGTGATAATTTATGAGATATAAAATACAAATCAACTTTTAATAATATTTATATATAGTGGTAATCAAAATTAATATATCAGTAGATAAATTTATTAATAAAATATATTAAAAATTAAAATTTTCTTTATTTATAAATTTATTTTCTGATGTATTATTTTTAATTATCACTATAACTGAATAATAAATGTAACACTTAAATTTTTTACTAATTATAATTAGTAAAAAATTTAAGCATTATATTACTTTTGATTGCTACTGTATAATATTAATTTTTTAAGAAAAATAATAAAGAAAATAAAATAAAAATATAATCTAAAAAAATATAATTTAATTAAAGTTTATTATAATTTATTAAATTATTAAATAATAATATAATAAAATTATTTAAATAATTTAAAATTTTAAAAATTTATTTAAAATATAAAATAAAGCTACT